ACAAACTGGCGTTAAAACAAACCTATGAAAACTTTAATAAATACTTTTTATCTAAACTTTCGAAATTCGCCTCTGAATGTTATTGTCGCAGTACTTAAAGCAATAAATCAATGTTGCTATCAGAATTATCTCCTTCATTCTCATATGCAACCTAACTCCAGAGTAACTTCGAAGAAGTCTCTACAAAACTTGCTTGAAATTGGAGGTGCCATCGGACCCGAATGAGCATTGATATAAAGTCCAGTCCGAAATGTAGCAATATCAGAGGTTGCATTTTTTTTTGCTATATTTTTTAACAATTGGATATGATGTAGAGTAGACATTGATAAATCAAAAAAGTATGTGCAACATTTTTTTTCATACGTAAGGGGGTTGCCAGCAGTTTCAAAATGGCCGCCATTTTTTCCTAAAATGTTCACAAATACTGTAAGTTTATGTCATTAAAATGCAGTATTCAATTGGAAATTCACTCATAACAATGACAACAACAGTTAACTAAATATTGTACACATTTTTGAGCTATTACAATTTAAAATGGCTGCCATTTTGTGGCTTCTTTGATCGACAATACCAGACCGATGTTCATATATACAAATTTTGAATACGTGTTTTAACTATAAGATAGTATGAAACAACTACAAAAAGAAAGTAATACAAGTCATTGTGATTCAATACTCGAACTGTATTTGTTCATCTTCCGGAATTAATTTTTGCTTTTATGTGAACCTTACTGGTGAACCCCATGGTGTTATGACTATATTTATCATTTCTTAGTATATCTTAAACAAACCAGTATCAGTTAGAAAAAAAAGTGTTACATAAGAATAGCACGTTCACCTGTCAGCTGCAGTTTTTCCACAATTACTACTATTTCAAATGTATAGTATAGCCTACTACATAAGATATCACGACGTCGTGCTTTATCCGAACGCCCTTTCTATGGGAAACGGAAGGCGCTGCATACGTTATACTAGCAATATTTACCTTTTTTTATTAAACACCTACTGTATCGTAATTAAACTATAATTTAATTGGAGTTATCACTATCTTTCATGTCAAAACCCAGAGTATGCTCAATAAATGTTAATTGAAGTTGAAATGAATATATGAATTGCACAGTTCTATTAAATGTGTATACACAAGATGTGTATAAGAGACAGGTTTTTGTACAGGTCGGTTATTATTATATTAATATGTATGCTAAAAAGCTAAAATAATGGAAAATGGCAGCCATTTTAAATTGTAATAGCTCAAAAATGTGTACAATATTTAGTTAACTGTTGTTGTCATTGTTATGAGTGAATTTCCAATTGAATACTGCAATTTAATGACATAAACTTACAGTATTAGTGAACATTTTAGGAAAAAATGGCGGCCATTTTGAAACTGCTGGCAACCCCCCTTACGTATGAAAAAAAAAAAATGTTGCACATACTCTTTTGATTTATCAATGTCTACTCTAAATCATATCCAATTTTTAAAAAATATAGCAAAAAAAAATGCAACCTCTGATATTGCTACATTTCGGACTGGACTACAATGCCTGATGATATCACATATATAATTATGGTAATAACCATTAACAGCATATGGCAATTGCATATAACTAGCTCTATCAGAGTTTTTGTACAGGTCGGTTATTATTATATTAATATGTATGCTAAAAAGCTAAAATAATGGAAAATGGCAGCCATTTTAAATTGTAATAGCTAAAAAATGTGTACAATATTTAGTTAACTGTTGCTGTCATTGTTATGAGTGGATTTCCAATTGAATACTGCATTTTAATGACATACATTAACAATATTGGTGACAATTTTAGGGAAAAACGGCGGCCATTTTGAAAAGGCTGGCAACCCTCCTTACGTATGAAAAAAAATATGTTGCACATACTTTTTTGATTTATCTATGTTTACTCTACATCATATCCAATTTTTAAAAAAATATAGCAAAAAAAAATGCAACAAACCAAAGTTTGCTGGACTCGCTCTACATAAAGAGCATTGCGGCACCTAGGGCTATACAATTCAAGTGGGCAATAATAAATTAATTAAAGTACAGTATTTAATTTATATTCAAAAGCGATAGAACCTCCACTAGTAAGATGGAACATATACAAAGACACACAATATATGGTACAAACTTGCAATGAACTGTCTTCATAAAGCTTAAACGAGGATAAACTTCATAACAATATATTTCATCCGAACAATTTAAATTATTAAATGTAACTGTTATCTTTTAAATAAACTCTCTTACGTCAAATCGGGGAACATATATTAAGTGTTTAGTGCAAGTACAAACAAGTACAAGATTGGAATCAAATATAGAATTTAAGCTAAAAAACAAAATATCTAAAACAAGTCTACGTTATATTAGGCCTATATTGAAAAAATGTAATCTTTTCAAAAATTCGGCCAAATATAGTTTGGCCGTGACTTTTCAAATGCTACGGCCAGGCAAATTTTTATACGGCCAGATTTGAGGAATCTGGCCGTCAAAAAGGCCAAATGGCAACCCTGGTTTAGAGTCCTTATCAGAGAAGACTTGTTCCACCACCGGAACCATAGGCGTATGGAATGCCATCGCTGCCTTCGGTAACAGCTTACCATTCGGCGCATTTACATTCGGCCCTTTTACCATTACGTTCGGCTCTTTTACCATTCGGCGCATTTACATTCGGCCCTTTTACAATTACGTTCGGCTCTTTTACCATTACGTTCGGCTCTTTTACCATCCGGCGCATTAACATTCGGCCCTTTTACCATTACGTTCGGCTCTTTTACCATTCGGCGCATTTACATTCGGCCCTTTTACCATTACGTTCGGCTCTTTTACCATTCGGCGCATTTTCATTCCGCCCTTTTACCATTACGTTCGGCTCTTTTACCATTCAGCGCATTTTCATTCGGCCCTTTTACTATTCGGCGCATTTACATTCGGCCCTTTTACCATTCGGCGCATTTACATTCGGCAAATTTACATTCGGCGCATTTACAAATAAAATATAACCTTTGACATGGGGTCAAATCAAATATTTCAACGGCTGTGGGAATGAGCCTATAAGAACCAGAAGAAGTAGGCCTAGGTCTAGAGCCTACGGCAGAATTATGGCAGTTTCATTAGGCAGAATCATGCAATTTTGAAGTTAAATATTTCATTTTAGAAGTAATACCAATGGATTGTTGTGTGTAAATATAGGGTATAGGCATTAATGTATAGTAATTATTGTAGCTTATTGTATAGTGCAATATATCATAATATATTGAGGCTTGACTCCAAAGAATTAAAAATCTATAAAACCATCACTTGATAACGGAACGAGGAAGGCGTTACGCGTGTTATGCATCACGGAACTTTGCTAATTGTATATTCAAAATGGCCACCAGTTTCCTCAAATTTCACTTTAAACAGTTAAATGTTAAGAATTTTAAAAAAATAAGTAATAATATCATGTGTTGTAAGTATTTTTGCATGTTTTCAGATCTCTAGGAATGATTCTATGCCAAATTCAGCTGCCTATTTCAAGTATACTTTCATTAAAATGGCTGTCTCTTTTCAAAATGTCCGCAAAAACAAAAATCTTCGATAAATAAACAAACTTGAACATCGGTGTTTCTCCAGCAGCAATGGTACCATGCTACTTCCAAGATGTTGTGCATTAATGAACATTGGTATTGTAATTATATATTCAAAATGGCCAACAACTTCCGATGTTATAGTGCGTCTATATTTTGTTTTGTACAAAAAAAAAACTAAAGAGTATTATGTAATTTACAGCATCATGATTTTTTTTAAACAAAACACAGCAGCTGCCTAATTAAAAAAAAAACAATTGTATGACTGCTATTCCAAGGAATATTTAATTAGAAAATTATGATGCTGCAAAAACATGAAGTACAATTCACACATTCACACTCAATAAACTTGGACAAACATGTAACTGAACATAATAGTGATGCATTTATTGATTAGAACCATAGAAACTGTTTAATAACAATTACTGCATTATACATTAATTACAAATATATTAAATTATTTTTTACTTATTTAATTATTTACATTATATTACTTTATTTACAATATATTATATTCTTCCCTGTCAGCTGCACACAAAATGTCACATACTGCTTGGTCGGTAAGTGTAGTGCAGTTCAGCTCAAGTAGACGTCTGAAGTTCTTGATCCGCCTTCCTGATGGGAAAGATAGATGGTGTTAATATAAAAGAAATTAATGTAAATAAAATATTAAAATGTTGAATACAATAAAAAAAAAAATAATTATAAGGAAATATAAAAATTTTATAACATAAAATATGAATCACAGCATCTAATACATAATAATACTGGTAATTAAATTTAAGAAATTCAATACCATAAACAAAAAATACAACCCTATTTTATAATGGAACAGTCCACACCTGTATCACATTAATGCCTAACTGGTCGATATCATTTTGTAATTATGGTAAAAACAATTCCTTAATATAAAATAAGTTGATTATTATCTGGAGGGATTAAAGCTGGGACCTTTGCTTTCAGGGTGAATGCTTCACCACCTTGCCATGGTGGGGGTGGGGGGCAAATTCCATATTATTACAGTGTGTAGTACGTCTATGTGAATTGTGAACTACTGTACTACCTAATTTACAATGTACTACTGGAAGGTTTCTCAAGAGAAGGTGAATAGCTGCAAATACAATAAGACTTTGCTTTATTATTACAAATATTTCTTTTAGAATAAAGTACATTCTTCAGATACATTATACTTACATGAGCTTCATTAGGAGTATGACTATGAGTGAGGTCTGGATCATACAATGTATCATTTTCTTCAACCTGAAAAAAAAAAAAAAACAGAAAAAAATGACAGTTCATGTGGAAAATCTCTTACCTATACAGTAAAGTGTGTTAACCTTGTTCCAGAAACATTGGATGACAATTTTTTCTTTTTTCGAAAATGGAGAATTATTTTTTCTAAATTAATTATTATTATAGTTCAAACATTAGTTAAAAATCGAGTCAGCTGCAAACAGTTGTGATCATTATTACATAAGTTATACAAAAATACAGTCAGTGACAGCAAACATGCTCGTTTTACCTGTTCTTCAGGTGGTATGGATACTGTTGATGGAGGACTAGGTCTAATAAAATAGAAGTGATCAGTAAAAATATTTAATAAACAATTTTAAAATAAGGCTTGATGATTAAAGATACTACTTTTTTTTTTAAACAAAACACGTTATATTTTCATTGCGGATTTTTAGGGCTCAGTACGGACTCTAAACGTATTTATTTTCTTTTAGTTTTAAGGCGTATGCGGATTTTATAAGTCCGCAATGAGGATATAACGTGTTACAAGCCAAATCAAACAATCTACTGTATTAGGCCTAATGTTAGAAAGGACATGGATTTCTATTGTTGGTTTGGGTTAAATCTGAGCACTAGGAAATCAGAATCTGTTCTTACAATAACAATGCAATGCTGAGACTTTATTTAATATGAATTCAAATATATTTTCAGGGAAGGAAATATTATTTGGGGAGATTTTTACAAAATAATACTTTATACTTTTTTTAAACCAAGTCCCTTTCAGGGCTCCGTAGAGACTCAATATTAAGAAATAATTATGTATAGATTGAAAGTATGAATATTTGTATCAATCATATTGATTTCATTCATTCATATCATTTATAAATGTCAAAAATACAAAATAGAAAATATATTTCATAGTTACCTGCTACTTGCACAGCTTGCCAAATGTTTCTTTAAAACACAGAATGAAATGTTATTTTGGCATTTTGGACACTTCTGTGTCAATCCAGAGTCCTCATTTCCTAAAAGAGTAAACAATTAAAAATGATGTATTAATAATCATTTATAAACTGTCTTTTATATTTTATCTATTAGAACTTTCTTAAGGATGTGTTTCAAATTCACACATAACTCGAGCGCCTTTGAATATTATTTAATGGATACTTGCGCTATATAGGTGAATTTGACTGATTGATTGATTGATAACTGATCATATTATGCCTCTTTATCCTTTCTAAATCCATGTTTAGTGCATGTTGAATTGGTCGTATATAGACTCTACATTGACCTGATTTATATTTTATATTCAGGGGTGAATATGCCCCCTAATTGGGGTAAGCTTTTTTCCACTCCCAAAGCATATTATTATCTCAAAACCCCCAGCATCCATCAGCTTGGGAAAGTTAGCATATATTACTTCCTGGAATTCATCCGGATTTATACTGTTATGTACTTTTATGTTATTTTCACCAAGCCCAGCTTCTGCTAGTTGTTGCTTTTGCCAACATTTTGGTGTCGATGGATCTGACAGGCAAACTATCTTCCGAGTCCATGGCGTCTTCAAGTGCTTTCCTTTCTTTTGGTGTAGGGGCTGTGTCTGGCTGGCATAAATCTAGACAAAATGGATCCTATAAAATACAGAACAGGCAAAAAAAACATTGAAGAAAACTTAAGGTGAATTAGGAGCACATTTCAGATCATCTGTAATAGTGGCCTACCTAGAAAAAAAAATGTGTGATATTTAAGGTCTGATGTAAGACAGTCCAGAAACCAAAATCGACGCCAGATCCACGAGACTTGAAAGCTATATGGATATACTGTAATACTATTGGCATACCAGTCCTTACTCAGGTTAATTCTAGAGAAAAGTTGAAATACTATACTATAACAATTGTGGGTTTAAACCATGTTGTCTCAATTCAGGCAATGTATAAT